CTCACTCCCACCTGCTCTTCACGGATGCATGTTAAGCAGTTGGCGGGTGACGAGACACGGCGAGTGGGTGGTCTTGCTCATTTATGATTATTATTTATGCTTCCGTTTGTCTATGACTGTTATATGACTTGGTTTTATTTTCCTGCTTTAATCTGGATAATTAAGTTATGTTGGATTTGATCCTTCGGGATTATGCTTTTACTTAGTGGTTATTTTGGAACTTAATAAATGTTTGGTTTAAATTTGATAATTGTTAGTTATGCTTGTGTAGGTTTAATTTGATGGGATGGTATTTTCGATTAATAGTTCTTGGTAGTTAAGTAGCGCCCGTTGAGTTTTAAATTTAATATGAGATTTGCGAAAAATTAACTCTGAGTTTTATAAATAAATTCGATAAATCCTTTATAATCAAAGTGGGGCAATACAAATTATATCATAAAAAACATCGGTTCGATAATGTAGATAAAAAATATAATATTAATTAGTTTGTTAGGAATGTGATTATATGAAAACCAAGATAAAATGAAATTTACCCAAAAAATTTGTTTAGGATCTTTTTCTTTAAATGTTTGAATTTAAAAATTAATACCGAATTTAAATTATATCACATAAGAAAAATAAATAATAAATATTTATTAATATATTAAAATATGTAATTTTGAATTTCATATAAAATAAAAGGTATGATAATGTCAAATTTATTTGAAATTGAGAGCAGTTCTAATTATTGAGTGCAGGAATGTATTAGACAACAATTGATAGACAATTATATTTCCTACTACACGTTACTTATTAAAAACTAATATTTATATTTATTCTATAGGACTGATGCCTGGCGATATATAACTTCCATATATCTACCCTAAAAACTTGATATTATATAGAAAAAAATATATAATTGCAAGACAGAAAAATTAACCATATATGCGTATATAATGATTATTATTATTTGTAAACAGAAAACATAATATAACTTATATATGTTTTTTCGGCCTTTTTATTCCATTTAGCGTAAACGCAAGTGTATGGAAATAGAAATGGAAATTAAATTTTAATATGGTACACATTCCTATTTAATTTGGACTCTTTCCTCTATACTGTTGGGATTCAGCCAATATACACGGTTTATGTACACATTCCTATTTAATTTATATATACATTCCTATTTAATTTGAATTTTGCCCACGATTTTAGGATTCACTTGTAATGCATTTAAATCACATCCAAAAGTTTTGAAAAAGTTAATCTGCACAACAGATTTGCATGGGCGGGATTTAACTAAAACATTCAAAGAAAATTTCAAAAAATGGTAAAAAAAAAAGAAAAACGAAAATAAAAGCAAGAAAAAGACATTCCCTTTCGGATTTTTTCTTAGCTCTATTATATAGTAATAGATGTGATCCCATCCGGCCGCTTATGCTTTTAAAGGCAAGTTACACGACTATTAGGGTAAATATATTAGCAAAATAGTCTAATAATATATTACTAGTACGACACCCGTGTACTACACGGGTTGTTTGAAAAAAAATATAAAACATAAAATAATAGAAAAAACACATGTTGTCATATAAAAGTACAAAAATAGAAAATAACAAAGTCGATATTATTTCAAATTTTGAAAAATTTCTTTATACACAACATTAATAGTTTTAGTACAATCCGACGTTAGACAACCGGCTCATCTTTTTTGGCCTTCCAGAAGTCAACCATTTGAATAGCAATGGTTCCACAGTGTACATTCCATAATTTCTCCACGTCATGAACATCTCGTTCATACTTAACGACTTCATCAATTTTGATGACCTCGGCAATGATATCTATGTTTAAATCAAATAACAAAAGTAAATATATTTTAATTATATTAGGATGTAAAAAAATTAATAGATGTTAAAATAAAATTGCATACCACATAAGGATTTCGTGTAGTCAGAGTTTCCCCTCAATTCGCTAAATTCTACGAAATTGAACATAAGGGATATCTCGAGATTCGTTTGTAATCACCTTTGTTATCTTGTATCTCGAATTTGTCATTATGTAAAATGACCCATCTTTTACAACAACTTCATATTCCGAAAAATCATGAAAATGCTGAACCCTGCACTGCGTGGATTCCAATGTATAAATTATAATCAAAATTTAATCGCAACGCAAGCAATAAACACAGGAACATTTGGAAAACAGAACAACGATCAAATGGACTAAAAACCACGAAAAAAGAACAAAGAAAATTGGATTTAAATTTGAATGATACGAACCCGTACATGCGATGAACAACCTCGACAAACTTCGGCACGGGGTCAGAACCCTCCCCCTCCTGTTCCGATGCCTATTCCAGTGGCATAAAGGCGTAGGTCAAATTAGGTGCAGAAAACTATGCAACGAAGAAGAAGCAATCGACATTCATACTGTTGGAGAAAACATTGGCAACTCACGTTAGGTGCAGCCCATGAAAAGAAAAATGAAGGTAACTGGTGTCATGACTTTCTGTTCTATCCAAGCAATCGAGCGTGGCTATGGGACCACATACGGGAGCATCTTGACGGCACCCTTCAGACTTATCAAATTAATATTTGTATTAATTGTATTTTAATATCATATTATAACTATTGAATTCCAAATATATTTTAAAAGTTAATAACTTTTGTATTTGTTTTACATATATAATATATAAAATTAATCATCTTTTTATTAGCTACGATTTGACATCCATATTGTATATATAAAATAGATAAATTATATTTATCTTTTATAATAATAATAAAATTATGACGGCACCCTTCAGACTTATCCCCTCCGAACAACACCTTGTTGAGGCCAGCATTACCTTTGACTCGTTTTGCTTTTCATTGAACAACTTTAAGAATACCTTGTTGAGGCCAGCATTACCTTTGACTCATTTTGCTTTTCATTGAACAACTTTATGAATACCTGCCGATGTTTTTGGTCGAGCTTCCCTTGCATCTGCAAAATCTCTTTTCCCTCGGCCCACCAGAAGCTCGGCCCACCAGTAAGATTTCTTTCAGCTGATCATTTATGAGCTCGAGCAGTTGGATGTACTGGCTGAATATTAGCACCTTCTCCTTCATGGCTATGCTGAGTCGAAAAAACTCGAGGATGAATTTCGTTCCATAAGTCCAATGGGGAGAAATAGCAAAGGATTGAAAAGAGTAAACCAAAATCCAAACATATCATAACGAAGTCATTAGCAAAAAAGCACACTGAATTAAAAACACTAATATCTTAAGGTTAATGCACATAAACAAATTGATTTCATTAATCGGTCGAAAGTTTAGTCAAGAGCACTTTGTATATATCCGGCTACCAATTGTGAAAAACCCCATTACCACTCGAAAAATGAAAGTGAGAAAAATCCTTACCAGGAGATTCGTGAATGACTAATTTTGTAGTCGTGAAGAGGCCCGCCGTGGTGCGGCTTTGGAGGGCCAATTTCCATGGGTCTGGTATTAAGAAGATTTACATACAGTCATGATCCTAAGATTTATTTTCACTTGCCAATCCATCATATTCAAAATTGAGCAGATTATTCCCAAAAACGATGAGCCATTAGCGGATCTGAAGAACTCTCAAGCCACAAACGATCCAAACTCAAAAGAACAAAAAAAATCGCCCCATAGCAAGTCAACAACGCAGATAAAACAGAGCAAAAAATTAAAAAATAAATAAATAATAAACTCACACTCTGTGTTTAAATCAATGGCCTTAAAAGTGGCACCAAGCTTGGTCAACAAATCTTTCACCGACACGCAAAACGGACAGTAAGTCTTGCTGCCACCATAAAAGATAAAAAAAAAATAATAAACAGATCCATATGAAATCACATTCACAGCAGCTTCATAAAATTCCACGAAGCAGCGAAGAGGACAGGTAAGAAGTCGGTGAGCCGCGTATCAGCGAAGTGAACGAAAGGGGATGAGCCGAACGGCTCAGGGAACGGGGAGATAGGCGAAGAAGCTAATCAGATGGCCGCCCAAATCGCTTCAGTCTTCACTGCTTACTACCATCTGTTAAGAATCAGCCCGTATTGTTCAGTACCATCCTTAATTGGATGTTTTTCTAAAGGGATATGATTAAGAAATCCGATTAATACACGGCAAAGAATTGGGGGAAAAATAATATATTATAATATTAAGTTATTTATTAGCACAAAGAATCCTATTCATATAAAAATACACTGCCAAGAATCCTGTTCAAATAAGAAAACACGGCAAAGAAGAAAAGAATATAATTGTATTAATTATTTTTATCCGAACCAAAAATTGAAGCATATAATGTTGCCAAGTAAGCTTCCGAAGCGTGCGAGCCAACCATTTAGGCTCAGCACGTTTTCAAATTATATTAAAAGGGGATTCGCCAACTCAATTCAACTCAATTTAATAATTAAATATTATTACTCTCTTCACCTTTACATTCAACTTAAAAGCCAGTTTATTGTTATTTTCAACTCAACTCAACTTAAATATTTAGTTTATTTTTAACTTATTTAAAAATTACAATTATAATCCAAAACATATCAAAAGTGGTTAGTCTTTATTTGTAGAGCATGAAAAAAAACAAATTTTAGTGCTTTTTTTTTCAACCAGAAAAATACATTTATCCAAAAACAACAGAACAAGTATCTCATTTTCACAAAGAATACGGGTCAAGACTCAACGTCACCTCGCCCTGGTTCGCTTCGCTAATTGATGACTTTTTTCTTTTTTCGATATTTCTTATTTATTTTTTCCTTATTTCCTTTGATCCATTGATTGGGTCACCGATGACCTAATAAGGCTTTTGACTACTAAAATAGAAAAATATTTCTAACCTTTGAAAATGTTCTCCACTCGCACACAAGGTTATTATTCAACTAATAGTAGTACGATATTGTATATTACACATATGTTAATTAAAAGCTTAATTCTTAAAATATAAAATAAATTAAAGTTTTTATCTTATATTTTTATGCACTTATTAAACCTCACACATTATTATTTATGTAATTTAAATTTATTTATTTTTGCCCCTAGTCAAAATCCTGCATCCAATTCTTCTATATATATACAAGACTATCTGCGCTTTGGTATATATCAAGGAAATACAAATCTACCCCTAAATAAGAGAAATTAAAAATGAGAGCTCAAAGAGTTAGTGTGCACATGAATACTGGAAATGGTGACACCAGTTACACCAACAATTCATCCCATCAAGTTCTCTCCCTCTCTCTCTCTCTTGTGGTTATATATTATTATTATTATTATTATTATTATTATTATTGTTATTATTTATTTGGGGTTTTAATTATGTGCAGAAAATAGGGATACTAAAATCATGGCATGTTATGGATGAGACCTTGAAAGACATGTTTAGCAAGGGCTTCCCCAGACAGTGCTTCAGGATGGCCGACTTGGGCTGCTCGTCCGGGCCCAATGCCCTTTTGGTCATTTCGCGCATAACCGGGAAAATCGAGGAGCTCTGCAAGGAAAATGAGAAAATAATCGAGATCGAGGTGTTTCTGAACGACCTACCGGACAACGACTTCAACAACCTATTCAAGATTCTGCCCGAATTCTATTATAAGAATAATAATTCTCCAAGGCCGAAAACATTTGTATACGGCTTGCCAGGCTCGTTTTACGGGAGACTTTTCCCAAGCAACAGCCTCGACTTTGTTTACTCATCCTACAGTCTTCAGTGGCTCTCTCAGGTGTTGATTTATTTATACAAAGTTATTTTGGATCATTGTTATGATCATGATGAGTAGTAAAAAGATGAGATTTGTTTATAAATTTGTAGGTTCCACAAGGATTGGAGAATAATAGGGAGAACATACACATGGCCAAGGCAAGTCCACCGGAGGTATATGAAGCTTACTACAGACAATACAAGACAGATTTCACCACATTCCTTGAGTCGAGAGCGGCCGAAATGGGTGTCGGGGCCCACATGGTCTTAACGTTCGTCGGCAGAAGTGTCGAAAACCCCTCCACGAAAGACGAAACCGAGCATTTCAAACTGCTCTCAGATACAATTCTTGACATGATTCAAGAGGTATGTAATATATATACATATACCGGAAAAAATATTAGCATTATAAATAAAAGTCATTTTACTACAACAAAATAACAATCGCAAGTCATTTTACTACAACACATTTACTCCATTCNGAATTTCTATTGGATTTTGATGATTTCGAATGATAATTCCTTCATTGGTTTAAATTATCGACTGAAAAAATTTTCCAATAGAAATTTCAGAAACAATATAAACTGTTGCAATAATTGTTGCTGGAATTATCTTATTCCAACCGACATTACGTGACAATTCGATCCAACAAATATTTTAGTGTACTTGACCTCTGAGATATCTTTTCAATTAAAGTTATAATATCATAATATCCACTAGATTATGTGATGGAACATTTTACGGTTTGGAATACGATAGTTTTTTTTTCGTAGCAGTTTATATTTATTATTTAAGGATTTGTCCATTTTAACCTATGTTTGGTAAAGTAGCTGATAGTTGATAATCTACCTTAAAACTTATATGTAATTTTCGAGCTTATAGCTTATTACTTATAGCTGTAAATCTAACTTAAATGATAAAAGTATTTAGTAGCTGATAAACTAGTTGAAATAAAAAATTCAACTAGCTTATTAGAAAAGCTACCTATAGCTTATGAGATAAATTCGAGCTTTTTAAAAAAGCTCTTCCTACCAAACGAGACTTATTTGAATACCGCAAATTTATAAGCTAACCAAATAAGTTATAAGCTAATTTATTTGACTACCAAACATAGTCTTAATCTGCATGATTTTTAAATGTAGGGGCTCGTCAAGGAGGCTGATTTGCATTCATTCAACATGCCTATATACACAGCATGCAGACAAGAAGTCGAGACATTGATCCGCGAACAAGGTTCGTTTAATTTGGACAGGCTCGAAGGCTTCTTCATCCCTTGGGATGCACATGTTAAGCATGGAGATGATTATGATGGAAAAGTCGACAATTTCAAAAGGGGCGAGCTTGTTTCGAATTTCATTCGTGCTTATACAGAGCCCGTTTTAGCTTCGCATTTTGGAAAATCCATTATTGACGATTTATACGCAAGGTATGCTAAGAAGCTAGCCAAGCATCTGTCTGAAGAGGAGCCCATGTTTTTTAATATGGTCATTTCTTTGAGCAAGAAGTGAGGAACAAAAAAGGGAAAAATTAATAAAAGATCATGAGATATCTCAGAGTTTAAATAAGATCATTGTTGGTTACAAGATATGTTTTGTTTGTGATATTCATGTGTTTTAGAGTTTGATCCAAAGATATTGGTGTACAAGTCGGTATCTCTTTCAGAAAGCGCGTTTAATAATTAAGGTTTGTTTGTTATAAGAAGTCATTGATAGATAGGCCGTGTTTTCTTCAGAATAATTGCAAATTGGATTATAAAATTACTCATTCTTATATCTATCAGTAGTTTCAGGGCCCAATTTTTTTTCAAAAACAATTTTAATTAAAAAATACATGAGTACTATATCATTTGTAATTGTTTGTATTTAATTGAATGAATAGGAATCTAATCTTACATGCATATATCGGAAAAATTGTAAACACTGCAACGAAAAAAATTGTCATACCACGAGAGAAGATTTTATAATGCAAACTAACATGAAAGAGAATATAAAAGACTACAAGTTTAATAAAAATGAGAAAACTTTAAAACTAATCCCACAGATTGAGGGGTGTTATTTTTGGTCCCGTAAGATAGCGAAAGTCACAATTAGTCCCACAACTTTCAAAAAGTAATCAAAAGTAAGACTTTTCATGCTATTTTGGATCTGAAAGGCCCGATATGCCATGTGACGTAGATTTGGGGTTTTTTCTTGACACGTTGGCAGCAGTTACCACACGTGGCATGACACTAAACCTGTGTGACTAGTTTTGAAGATTTTCCTATCTTTTATATTGTTATGCTTTTCTTTTGTTATATAAATTATTATATATATATATATTAATATAGAATATTATTAAGTAAATCTAAGATAAAATTATGAATAAATATATAATGATTTTTTATAATTATTTATAAAAATTTTAATTATGAATAAAGATACAATATACATGAAAATAAAATTAGAAAATATTTTTAATTACTTTTATTTTGTGATGTGTTATTTTTAATAGGTATTCTTTTAGCTTCTTTATAAAATTAAATAATTTAAAATTCAAAAAAAATATTTTTATTCATCAGATAATTATAGTTAACATTCTTTATTCATGATAGAATTGTTCTTTTTATAATTTTATTATTATTTATTGAAAATATAGTAAAAAAGTGTTAACTATAATTATGTCATAAATAAAAATATTTTTTAATTTTATAATAATTTAATTTATAGTTAATTGGTTTTTAGTAATTATATATTTTTTATTAAATAATGTTAAAATTACAAAAAAAAAATTATGTCAGGAATAAAAATGTTCGCTTAATGACTACCCAGCTTGCTTTCCGTTCCCCAATGATTTTCCCAAAAAGACTTCGGTGGCATACTTCTGCACTGATTTTGATGTCCTCTTGGTCTATATCTATGACTCTGTCTTTAGGCATGTCATTAAAACCCGCAGGGTCGGGTTACCCACATTTTCAGGTCGGGTAAACCCGATATGATTGAGTTTCGGGTCGAGTTCGGGTAGAATTATGCTACCCGAATCCTGGGTCGGGTCGGGTTCGGGTATGATAGAAAAACCCGTTACCCGACCCGATTACCCAAGCTATTTACCCGCAAGCATAAAATCTTATACACACACACATACACACATACACACACATATATACATATATATATATCATATTATAAATATAAAATAAAATTATTTCTTATAATTTGGTTAATGGTTTGAATTTTATTTTATTTTTTTGATTTTTTTTTTTTATCAATTTTCCTTTTAGTTGTACAATATAAAATTTAAATACTTTATTTTCAATGTTATATTATTAACTAGACCATAAAAAATAAATAATTTGATATAACCATAATATGATATACCGGATTAAGGGCTAGCTACTCGACTCGGATGACGAGTCGAACCGTCCACATGTTGACTGGAGTGCCCTAAAGTCGACATCACTACGGTCGACTACTTCTCTTTATGTATTAACTGGAAAGGAGCAGGTTTCACTTAGTCGACAAACCCAAGTCGACTCCTCTAAGTCGACTCCTATAAGTCGACTCCCAAAGTCGACTTCTATCAAGAAGATGAGACTATTCGAAGAGAAGCGTTAAGAGTTTCCTGATATATCCCTATACGGGAAATCTAAAGTCGACCTCTTACTACTCGAGGTCGACTCCTTATGCCTTGACACTCGAAGCCTTCGACGATTCAGGACACTTACAACATCACCTAACAAGTCCCCTAAACGAGGGTGAATCTCTATTGAATAAGAAGGAATCTTGGGCTAACTAAGAGGTGATTGGAATGCGAACCGCCCAGGGTCTTTTGGGTACTTTAAGTAGATATTTCGTTTTATATAAAGGGACTGAGGTAACTCTAAACCCTAACTTCTACATTCTCTATTCCATTTTCCTCTTTCAGCTGTTGCTGCTCCCTCTGAGCAGAGCAGCCTCATCTCTTTCCCATACTGACTTCAGCGTCGTAGGCTCTATGCCGGAAACACTTCCGGCGTTGAGTTCTTGCAGGTGTTTACGGCAGTCTAGAAGCGATTTGAAGGCGGTTCGAACAGATCGGAGCTCACAACCACCGGTTCACTCCAGATCTAGGAGAAGACCCATCATAATTATATCTCAATATTTATTCCAAAAATAATATAGATTTTTTATAGTCATTTTGTTGCTAAACTTAGTTAATAAATTGTTAGTTACATTATATTTAATTGTGGAGTTATTTTATTTAATTTTTTTACACATGAAGCGGATTGCGTCGGGTTGGGACCAAGTAAAACCCAAATTTAAGAACTTGGGTTATCCGTTTACCCGACGAAGCCCAACCGGAACCCGAAGTTCACTCACCGGTAACGAGTCGGGTACGGGTAAGGTAAATTATATGCGGGTCGAGATCGGGTTTGCCAAAACCCGCACCCGACCCGACCCATTTACATCCCTATCTGTCTCTCTCTCTCTCCGAGAGTGAGAAGCTTTTCAAGTGATCCGCTATTTCCTCGTCTTGCCCGATACATTTGGATGAACCCATCGAATCCAAACCCTAGACTTCCACTGATAGCTTCAAACCTTGAGAACTACAGATGAATCGGCAGTTGAATACTGGTAATAAAAGAGGATGGTTAAGAATCAAAAGGAATCTGAAACAATGAATCGAAAAAAATGGAATTGCTCCGTAAAATCAATTTTCGACGGAATAAAAAAGACATATAAGGTATAATTTATAAAATTACAAAAATAGTTTTATTCATGACATAATTATAGCTAACATTTTATTCATGACATATTTTTTTTTGTAACTTTATAATTATTTAATAAAAAGGTATATTAATTTTTATAAAAATTATTTAATAAAAAAGTTTAGTAATTTTTAAAAACAAATTAACTACAAAATTAAATTATTATAAAATGACAAAAATAGTTTTATTCATGACATAATTATAGTTAACCTTATTTTACTATATTTTTTATTAAATAATAATAAAATTATAAAAATAAAAACATTTATGCATGAATAGAATGTTAAGTATAATTATCTGATAAAAAAATATTTTTTTGTAATTTTATATAATTTCATTTTAAGAAGAAGCTATTAAAAATAGCACAACACAAAATAAAAGTAATAAAAGTATTTTCTAATTTTATTTTAATGTATATACATGTATATATATATTAATATAGAATATTATTAAGTAAATCTAAGATACAATTATGAATAAATATATAATTATTTATTATAATTATTTATAAAAATTTTAATTATGAATAAAGATACAATATACATGAAAATAAAATTAGAAAATATTTTTAATTACTTTTATTTTGTGATGTGTTATTTTTAATAGGTATTCTTTTAGCTTCTTTATGAAATTAAATTATTTAAAATTCAAAAAAAATATTTTTATTCATCAGATAATTATAGTTAACATTCTTTATTCATGACAGAATTGTTCTTTTTATAATTTTATTATTATTTATTGAAAATATAGTAAAAAAGTGTTAACTATAATTATGTCATGAATGAAAATATTTTTTAATTTTATAATAATTTAATTTATAGTTAATTGGTTTTTGGTAATTATATATTTTTTATTAAATAATGTTAAAATTACAAAAAAATTATGTCAGGAATAAAAATGTTCGCTTAATGAGCTTGCTTTCCGTTCGCCAACGATTTTCCCAAAAAGACTTCGATGGCATACTTCTGCACTGATTTTGATGTCCTCTTGGTCTATATCTATGACTCTGTCTTTAGCCATGTCAATAAAACCTGCAGGGTCGGGTTACCCACATTTTCGGGTCGGGTAAACCCGAGATGATTGAGTTTCGAGTCGGGTTCGGGTAGAATTATGCTACCCGAATCCCGGGTCGGGTCGGGTTCGGGTATGATAGAAAAACCCGTTACACGACCTGATTACCCAAGCCATTTACCCGCAAGCATAAAATCTTATACACACACACACACACATATATACATATATATATATATATCATATTATAAATATAAAATTAAATTATTTCTTATAATTTGGTTAATAGTTTGAATTTTATTTTATTTTTTTGATTTTTTTTTATCAATTTTCCTTTTAGTTGTACAATATAAAATTTAAATACTTTATTTTTCAATGTTATATTATTAACTAGACCATAAAAAACAAATAATTTGATATAACCATAATATGATATACCGGATTAAGGGCTAGCTACTCGACTCGGATGACGAGTCGAACCATCCACATGTTGACTGGAGTGCCCTAAAGTCGACATCACTACGGTCGACTTCTTCTCTTTATTTATTAACTGGAAAGGAGCAGGTTTCACTTAGTCGACAAACCCAAGTCGACTCCTCTAAGTCGACTCCTATAAGTCGACTTCTATCAGGAAGATGAGACTATTCGAAGAGAAGCGTTAAGAGTCTCCTGATGTATCCCTGTACGGGAAATCTCAAGTCGACCTCTTACTACTCGAGGTCGACTCCTTATGCCCTGACACTCGAAGCCTTCGACGATTCAGGACACTTACAA